TGTTATTTCTTTTGTTTTCTCTCTTCTCTTTCTAAATCTTGAATGCAAACCAACCAAATTAAATGCCAATCAAAACACACCTTTTAATTTGCCAAACTATTGAGACCAATATGGATGCAAAGCAGCAGTTTAGGTCTTGGAATTTGGTGATTTTTGGGTTTCTAAGTATGACAGACAGAAATTGATTGTGGAGGAAGGAAATTGACAAGAGATGGATAGTGAAACAAAAGAAACAGCAGCACCTGAACAAAAATTCGAGGAAACAATCATACATCTGTGATTCCTAATAACCCTCAAAACAATCATACATCTATGATGCCTAAGCCCTAAACCAATTTCAGTGAAACCCCTAAACCAATTTCTGAGAAACCCCCAAACCCTAAACCAATTTCAAACAAACTCGTAAACCAATTTCATACAAACCCATAAACCCTAAGCCGTAAGAAAATGTCGATGAACAGTACCTGTTTGAGGTGAATGATGGTGTTGATCTTTGATGAATAGATTCTGCTGGGATAGGAAGAGAGAAGAGAGAGTGACAGCTGAGCGACGAGAGACGAGAGAGTCAGAGCTGAGCGACGAGAGAGTGAAGAGACTGTGAGAGACGGAGCCAAGAGAGAGCTGATTGGAGGGAGGTAAATTTCAGAAAAAGTGTTAGGTGAGCAATAAGTGGACAATATATATATATATATAGATGGTAGTTATAAAACTTTTGGGGAGGGCTGATATTTCCACTTAAAACTTAAAAACCGGTGGCATTAAGGGCTATTTCCCTATATTCAATGTGGCCATTTCCTACAGGAGCTTCATATAGGTGCTTCTCCATCCCTAGAAGCACTTCTGTCTATTTAAACCAAACACTACAAAAATCATTTTAGAAAAGTTGATATACATCCAAATTTTCATTGAGAAGTTGGTTTTAATCCTCAGAGTCGGTGACTTTCATACAAGTCCTTTGACTTTTGTGCCACATAAGATTACATTCCTTTTTAAATATTTTATGATGTAATCTTTTTATTTTTATTTTAAATTATTTTTTATTCTAATGTTGCCCCTTATGCCTTGAATTGGGTAGCTGTAATTTATGTGATAATTACCGGAAAGAATTGTTTATGACCATAATTAATTAACAAATTAAGTGTTTATGACCATAATGATTTTGGTATATTCAATTACCATGAAATAATGCATTAAATTTGGATTTTCAATGTGTTTCCTTATTTACCTCAAAGGGTAAAATTGACACAACAAAAAAAGTAATAAAAGTCAAAGGACTTGCATCTAAAATCAAAACAGCGACGACTTAGCCTAATGACAACTAATCATTTTGGACCTAGATCTAAGAAGCCCAAATCATTTTGGAAAACTATTTAAAACTGGGGAAAAAAGAGGGGGTGTAGTTGTGTGTGCTTCCAGTATTCCTCACAATAGAATTGTTTCTCTTTCATAGGAAAATAAAGCACAAAATAACATCACATAAAAATGGGAGCATAGTATAAATTTAACTTACAACAGGTAAAGTAGCTTGTCTGATCCACTCCAAAATGCGCGGATCAAGTTTTTCATGTATAAGTCCAAATTGCCCATTTGATAACCATTTCAATTTTAGTTTTAGTTTTCATTTTTTGTGCGAGAGTATAGAGGGAAAAGAGGGAGAATATAAATGAGAATGAGAGTGAAGATGAGATTGAAAGGGAGATGGAAGGGAAGAGTAACAAAAGTGAAAACAAAAACTAAAAACTAAAATATATTTGAAATTGTTTTCACTTTTGTTAATCCTCCCTCCCATCCTCCCCTCTGATCCCCTCTCTCAATCGCATCCTCACTCTCATTATCACTCTCTTTTCCTCTATACTCTTACACAAAAAATGAAAACTAAAACCTAAAAACTAAAATTGAAATGGTTATCGAATGGGTCTTTAGCTTTTCACCCAAAAAAAAAAAAAAACTTCACACCAAGGAGAAAAATCATTCAAGTCTAATTTTAGGGTTTATTACAAATAGACAAAGATGTATTAACATAGTGAATAGTAACACTACGTAGCAATGTGACTATCACACCGAAGAAGTTATAGTTAGGATTGATCTTATTTAATTTTGTTTTGGGAGGCTGGTAAAGGGATACAAACAATGAAAGAAAAGGAAAAGGGAATAAGTCAGAGAAAGAAAAACTCCCTAAATTTGCCAAACAAAAAAGAAAAAAAAGAAGAAAAAAAAGGAAATATAGTGTTTCTATAAAAACATTGGGAGCTTACTACCAAGTGACACCCGAACTTCCCCAGACATGATTTTTATGCCTATCGCCTAACCCACACTAAGCATGTCCTTTATTTGCACAAACACACTTTTAAAACCCATTTCCTCAACACAACTCAAGCACTTTTCAATTCAATTCAATTCGATTCAAGAAAGCAAAAGCAGATGAACACAAACTCAAGAAAGCAAAAGCAAGATGACAATGTCCCAAGAAAAACCCAATTTCAAAGCAAGCAAGTTGTTGCTTCTTGTTCATCTTCTAGCCCTTTTGGTCATGGCTCATGGGAAATTGCCGCCAGAGGTTTCAAATGACCTAAATGCCCCTGCATTCTACATCTTGGGAGATTCCTCTGTTGATTGTGGAGACAACACACTGTTTTACCCTCTCATTCACAGCTATCTGTCCTTGTATTCATGCAACGGTTCTGATTCCACTCTGATTCCCCATCTTCTTGGTAACGTTTAATCCTTCATTTCATTGTTTTTATGAGTATTCTCTGTTTTTGCCAACGGATTTAGTCCAGTGAAAAATGGTCTTACTTTGCATTCCAGTGGTCTAAGTTTGAATTCGAATTCTCATGACACCTTGGCAGTGCGTGTAAGAAACCCACCTTCCCTTGTAGTTTAGATTATCACTTATATTAAAAAATTGATTATGCTTTGTTTCTTGGACTTAATTTCCTTAGGAAATTATGAAATTTTCTGTGTTAGGCCTTTGCTTTTTTGTTTCTTGGACTTGAATTATTTGAGAACCGGCCTGTGTATGATTGAATTTGGCTTTCTTGGTTCTTTTTTTCTTTTTCTTTTTTGTGGGATTGATGGGCACCCATCATTCTTTGCTAGTAGAAGCTAAACCATCAAAGAAAATTCAACTTCCAACCCTCAAGTTTGCTTCAACTTTCTTCTGATGAAGGAAAAGGTTAGATGTTTGTAGCATGGGCTGGCCCAAAAGTACATAAATATGTATGTCCTGGCTGCTAATTGAATAATAAACACAATTTATCAGTGTCAACTTCTGTAAATTATGGCTAACCAATGTAATTATGTGAATATATGAGTGTGCCAAAATGCTTATTGCTACCTATATGTTCATGCGTCATGGGAATTTGAAAAAAGAAAAAAGAAAAATGCTAACAAGGCATCAGTTTATTCTGCACTGCAGTAACTAGAATCAATTGTGTGGATTTTAATTTAATGAAAAATGGATTTGCCCTTACATATTTGTTTGTACCAACAGCTGAGAAGATGGGCATGCCAAATATCCTACCTTTCTATAGTCAAAATGGATCCATTGATGGAATACTAAAAGGCCTCAACTTTGGTTCAACACAAGCAACAATCATGAACCCGAGCAGCCAGAGCTACCAGTCTGTAAACCAGCAACTACGCCAAGTTTTCGACTCAATGCAGCTTTTACAACTGCAGTTGAGCCAGGAAACAGCTCTCCATTTCATCCGATCTTCCATCTTCTACCTCTCCTTTGGCAAAGACGACTACATCGACCTCTACCTGCGCAATGCATCCGGCGCTGCAAAACCCAACTACAGTGACCAAGAATTCTCCCACGTTTTAGCAAATCAGATGATACATGTTATAAGGAACCTCTATGACATGAATGTGAGGAGGATGATCTGCATGGGGATATTGCCTCTGGGATGCACACCTCGTATGTTGCTGGACCGGTACAATTCGAATTCCAAAGCCGGTGAGGAAAGTGAGGAAGATGATGATGGAAGGGGTTGTGTGGAGGAGATCAATGCGCAGGTTTCGGAGTACAACAAAATGCTGCACGAGCAGATTGCTATGCTCCGCGCAGAGCTTCCGGATGCCCAGATTGTGTTCTGTGATGTGTACCAAGGAATTAGTAAGATCATAAACAACCCAGAACACTACGGTACAAATCACAACTACCAACTCTTTCAAATTTCCATACATTACTGATTTCATTTCATTTTCAAGGAAGGAATTTAATTACTTCGAATTATAAGATTCTAAGAAACTTGCTGGTTGCAGGATTTGAGGATGTAAAGAGTGCCTGCTGTGGGTTGGGAATGTATGGGGCAGCAATTGGATGCCTTTCAAAAGATACGGCATGCAAACAAGACACAAGCCATGTGTGGTGGGATTTGTACAACCCAACAAAGGCAGTCAACTCCTTGCTGGCTGACTCTGCCTGGTCCGGCTCTCCCCTTTCTCGCATTTGCCGCCCTACCACCATCCAGGAATTGCTTTCCACTGCTTCACCCTCACATCCAATTCCCACCTGACTCTACAACTCTAATTTTCTAATAATTTCCACTGTTTTCTGGTTCAAGTAGAAATTAGAACTTCATGAATGTAAATTTCAACAATTTTCCTGAAGCTCAGCAATTCCAGATTCCTCTGTCTAAACTCCTAAGTGGAAATTGGAATGCTGTATTAAAATGGATAAACTGTCGTTTTACCCGTGAACTATCACGCTAATCGAACTTAATTCCCTGAATTATTCTTTTTCAGTGAATTAAGCACTTGAACTCTGTTATAATTTCTCTATTATCTGGTTCAAGTAGATTCAACTATTTTTCTGAAGCTCACAGATTCCAGATTCCTCCGTCCAAGCTCCACAGTGGGTTGCAATATAAAAATAGTAAAAAGTTTGGAACTTTTGAAACCCCCAACGTCCACATTGTCTGATTAATTTAATAATATTCAAAAGCAAAAGCATATCACAAAATCACTAGCACAATAATTAAACTCACTCACCTTGCTGCCAAACAAAACCCTCAACAATGGCCGCAGCAACTCAAGCGCTTTTGAGCCTCTTCGCAGCTTCCCTCCCGACCAAGCACCGCCCTCTCACGATCAGAGCTTCAAAGCCCGCCACCACCAACCCGCCCATAGCCGGCCGGAAGCTCCGCGCCGCCGTGATCGGCGCGGGCCCTGCAGGATCCTCCGGGCGGCGTAGAGACCTTTCTGTTCGAGCGGAGCGGCCCCTCCGCCGCCAAGCCATGCGGCGGCGCCATCCCTCTCTGCATGCTCGACGAGTTCGACATCCCGCGCCACCTCATCGACCGCCACGTCACCCGCATGAGGATCTTCTCCCCCTCCAATCTCGCCGTCGATTTCGGCAAAACCCTGCGCCCCGACGAGTTCATCGCCATGCTCCGCCGCGAAGTACTGGATTCCTTCCTCCGCTCCCGCGCCCAATCGTGCGGCGCCGACCTCATCTCCGCCCTCGTCACCGATCTCGAGGTCCCGACCTCGAACGACGCGCCGTACGTCATCCGCTACATTTCGAACAACTCGCAAAAGGCTCTGGCCGTGGACGTTGTGATCGGCGCGGACGGCGCCAACAGCCGAGTCGCCAAGTCGATCAAGGCCGGCGGCTACGCATGCGCCATTGCGTTTCAGGAGAGGATTAAGCTCACGGACGACAAAATGGAGTACTATGAAGATCTCGCCGAGATGTACGTGGGAAACGACGTGTCGCCCGATTTTTACGCCTGGGTTTTCCCCAAGTGCGACCACGTGGCAGTGGGGACTGGTACGGTGTGCTCCAAGCAGGATATTAAGGTGTTCCAAAGGGCAATTAGGGCTCGGGCCAATTCTAAGATCAGCGGTGGGAAAGTGATCAAAGTGGAGGCCCACCCGATACCCGAGCATCCCCGACCAACTCGTGTCAGAGGACGCGTTGCGCTTGTCGGGGACGCAGCTGGGTATGTGACGAAATGTTCAGGCGAGGGGATTTATTTTGCTGCGAAGTCTGGGAGATTGTGCGGCCAAGCGATTGTAAAGGCATCCGAAGGAGGGCAGAGGATGATCAATGAAGGGGATTTGAGGAGGGAGTATTTGAAAGAATGGGATGCCAAGTACGTTACAACATTTAGGTTTTTGGATTTGTTGCAAAAGGTGTTTTATGGTAGTGATGCGGCTAGAGAAGCTTTGGTGGAGTTGTGTGGGGATGAGTATGTGCAACGCATGACATTTGAGAGTTACTTGTACAAGAGGTTGGCAGATGGTAATAGGTGGGAAGATGCTAAGATGGTTTGCAATACCATTGGAAGTTTGATGAGGTGTAACATTTTAGGGAAGAAAATGGAGAGTTTGAAGTTGTGAGATTTAATTTTCTTGCCTTAATTGGGATTTTCATTTGCCTTCTAGTTGTTTGATTTGTTTTAGCTAAACTAAAGGATTTGTGGATTTTAATTGTAGTTGTTGAAACTTGAAGGTAACGGAATTTGTGCATTGGCTGAATATTTCAGAAAAAAAAATATTAAAAATTAAAAGCCAAGTGACCATATTTTAGCCTTTTGCGCATCCTGTATCACATTAAAAAAACCAAGTGACCAAATATTTTATAGGAAACATCAAAACACCCTTATTGATTGGTTGATTATTAGTTAAATAGCTCATGTTATTATTATTTTTTAGGTTTTTAGTAACAAGTAAAAAGCTCATTTTTGAATGACATATTATACAAATACCTACATAGAGCTGATTTGAACAGAAAAACAAAAACTAGCCAGTTGTTCTTTTTTAATTGGTTCTTAGAGCATCTCCAGGAGTCTCCAAATTTTAGTCAAATTCTAGCTAAAATAGCTAGAAAGTCATTATAGCAAACTACTAGTTTGGCATTGCTATGTTGTGAAAATAATCGTTGTCAGATTTGCTGTAAGAGAAATCAGCAATGAAAGAAAGCAGTTTGACGTTGGTAAACTTTATAAGTGATGTTTGTACAATAATCAATTTCTAAGTGTTCGTTAAATTTTTTTTTTTTTTTTTTGAAAGTGTTGTGAGCTATGTATAATGAACAAAAAGGGCATTATGTTGAAATAGTTTTTCTATTCAAGTCTGATTAAAGGAAAAGCACTTTCATTTTATCTCCTTTTTTTTTTTGTATTAAATATGTTTCCATCATACCCGAAAATTTATTTTAATTATAAAATAAATAAAGTATTCCATTAAAAATAAATATATTGACAATAATATGGTCATAACAAAAATTAAGTTAGTCATAAACAAGCAATCATATACATTTCTAAGCAAATGAACTCATTAAACTTGCAGCTATATAATTTCTCAATACCTCAATTTCTTGTGTTACAGGACCATTTTCTTGTTGTGCATCAACCTTTATCTCAATCTCTTCACCTTGAATACCATTTAGGTCATCTTCACTTTTATCAAAATGACAATCACATTTGGCATGTATTCTTATGTAGTTATGAAGTGACATGGTTGCAATAATTATTTTTACTTGTTTTGCAAAAGGATAATTAGGCATGTCTATTGGAAGTTTGAATGAAATTCAAGAACATTTGTCCCACATTGATAGAAAGTAGAAAGAGTGAGGTCTTTATAAGTGTGGAAGTCCCACACTTAGTAAATGGAAGTGGGCTAAATGGAAGCAAACTGGGCTTCAAAAACGATTTGGGCTTTGAATATTATATAAAATTATATAATATTTAATAGTAAAAAAGATGGGCCTTGGGCCTTGGGGCACTTTCAGATTTAAAATTATTATTTTTTGGTTTTGAATGAATACTTTTTTATTAATTCGAATTAGTTTTATTAACTATTTCTAACAGTTGTGACTCTTTTGATAAGGTTTCAGAAGTTTATTTAAATCAAACGAAGCCTCATTCGTTTGACACAGAAAAAGTATTCTACAAGTATTTCACATTGTCTGAGAGGAAAACAATCAAAGTTCGCCAGATTCTAAGTCCAAGTGCTAGGGCTTAGAATACAAATAGTTGAATCCTGGGAGGCAGTCACCTGTAGAACTTCAAGCATCGAGAAGGGGTGAAATTACTGTCTTTAGGACATTGCATCAACTCTGCAAGCCTCTATCTCGAATCCAAGTTAGTTTAATTTGTTGTTTATATACTATATTCTGTATTACAGATTGTTTTAAATTATATTTATATAGTTATTTTAAATAGTCACTAATTGTTGTTTTTCCAACAATGTCTCGTAAAATACTCCATCTCTTTTCCATACTCCAAAAGTGCGTTCAATAACACTTCTTAGGGAAGAGTTTGCATGATTAAATACCTCTTTATGACCCATCGATTGAACACCCCTATGAAAATTAGGAAGATGATATCTTTCATCTTTATATGGTCCTAAGTAACCTCTCATTTGTGGGTATCCCGCATCTACTAGGTAATATTTTCCTAAAAAAGAAATTTAATTCATTATGCACAATGTAAAAAACTTAAATATAAATTATATGAATTTTTTTATTCAGATAGAAATAGTACCATTTGGAGGTTTAGGAAAATTCAAAGTTTGATCACGCAAAGCCAATAGAAATATCCTTGTGTCATGGGCCGTGCCTTCCCATCAAGCACATGCAAATATAAATTGCATGTCAAAATTTTATGTAGCCATCACATTTTGGGTAGATATCCCCTTTCTACCAATAAATGGTATTTGATTAGAAGGAGGTACGATAAAAAGACAAACATAATATTAATTATAACATAATAAAACATAGACAAATATTTAAGAGTAGTAGATGCAATAGTTACCTTGAAATGAAGCATATATCTAGAATCTTGTAGGAATTCCATTGGAGTGTTGTTAAACGCATTTTCCAATGGTTTAATTACATCCAAAGACAAACGACATACAACATCAAGTAAGATACTAAAATATCTGCTCACAGTCGCACTAGAATGTTGAAAGCGATCCTGTGCTTTCCATATTTTCCGTAATTTTTTTTAGTAAATCCCACTTGTTTTTTAATTGTAATTTTTCATAAGGTCTTCCTATCTCTTTACTAATATTTGTAACCAACCTTGCCCATCCAACTTTATTAAAGTGAGTACCAGGACGATTGCCTAGATCCACCTCCTTGATACAAAGGTTAATGAAGATGGCTATAGTTTGAGCATTCCACAATACTGACAATTTTCGGGATCCACTTGCAACATTTTCAGTTGTGGTGAAGTTACTATTCTTCTTTGCCATCTTATTGCAACAAAGACATTATATATAAGCACAAAAGAAAATAATAGGTATACAAGCGAATTACAAAACAAACCAAACTAGTCACTATTTGGGCCAAAAGAAATCTCACGATCGGCCCACTTCTCAGAAAGGCCCATGAAACAAAAAGAATAAAAGAGCTGGGCTTCCAATTATCAGATCAGGAGTGAGCCCAACCCACGTCTTTTCAGAAGTGGCAGAAATGTAAAAAATGCCAAAATAAATGGCAATTACATTTTAGGCAAATCAAAGAATTAGATTGGGCCAAAATCTACTACCATCTCTCTCAAAGGCCCAGGAGCAAATCAATATATCTTTTTGAAGGAACTATTCTCAAGGTAGCCCACGAGAAGCCCACGTGACTATCTAAAAACTTTGAAAGTCAACAATATCAACTGAAAGTGATAAGAGAACTAAAATTGGGACAGGTACAGAAAGATGGCATCTCTGAAAAACTCTGCCAAAACAGAAGATCAATTTATATATATATATATATATATATATATTATATATATATATTCAGAGATATTTCTTCTCCTCCAAAGAGGGTGATTCTCTCAAAAAGATAAGCAGACTATGTTCTCAAAACAGAGATAAGCACAAGAATAGGGAGTTGTTTAAAACTGAAAAATCAACTAACCATCACGGTTTGAGCTCTCACAAGGGGAAGCATTTTTACCTAGAATAAACTGCTATTGACAATTTCCACGTCACGAAGGTAAAATTCGCTATACATGCCAAAAGTGTCTAGGTTGGCATAAATTTGTGCAGTTGGGATTAAAAAGGGGTTAGGTTCTCTTTCAAAATACAAGGAAGTGATTGCCATAGGAGCTGACCGTTGAAAGCCTATCTGCCAGAACTGATAAAATCCTTTTTTCTTTGTATTTCAAAATAAGAGATCTTTTGAGAAATTTTGCCGCCCATTATTAAAAGAATTACCCTATTCCTAAGCATTTCTTATAAATATAAGAGGGAGTGAACAGGGCAAAACAAAAAAACAAAAAAATCATCAATCAATGAAACAATAAAAAATCAACCAAAGGCGAAAACTCAAAATGATCACTTGATCACTGAGAACCTTCAAAGCAAACTGAAATAACCAAAAGCTCATTTGAGCCACAAAAGAAGCCAGCTATAGATCAAGAAACTTCCAGGTTCAGACTTAGAGAAAATAAGTCATTCAAAACGAGACTTCTCTTGTTACAAATTTGGTTCAGCAAAAGCCAAAACAAGCAGAGTTTGAGTTTTCACAAATATGAAAACCTCAACAAATTTATGGAGAGCCCTGACCAAACAGAACAGGTACCATAGTGCAATTCCGGCTCAGTACCCTCAAGTCCAACCACTTCTACCCTATTCAGACCAAAGAAGTTGCAGTTCTGCCCATTCAAAAAGCCTTCTAGGGCGCGAAATAGATTGAAGCTCTGCCAAAATCAAACTTTGGTAGCGATTTACAACTGAAGCTTAGCAGTTGAAGCTGCTGACAGTTCAATCCAGAACAAACATACCCAATCCAGCCCGGATCAGAAGCTTTTGCCGAGGCAGAAATTGAATTTCAGCCACCTTTTTGTCTTTCTAGAGTTGATTTTTCCCTCTCTAGTTTTGTAAAAGGCAGTTCTGCCTGAAACAATCCATTTTATTATCATTTATTTTGGCCAGAATTACCAATCTTGTACTAAGAACTTACTTGGGAGATATTCCTCACCCAAATCCACAATCGTTTGTTTAAGAAATCAGTAACTTGGGGCTTAAGTTATCTATTTTAAGAAGTCTGCTAGAATTGTTATTGCTAGCAGTGGCACGCTCGCACACTAAAGAAAGTTGACTTGTTGATCAGTTAATGGTTTTCAAGGCAATGAGGAACTTTACCCTATCATCACATAAACAAAAACAAAACGGGTGAACAGCCACAACTCAAATGCAGTACACAAATGTTTCTCTAATATGAACAGTGCATAGATGTTCATCTATCAACATATATATATATATATATTCTAACATCAGTTCATCGTAGTATTCAATAATATAGTATAAAGGAAGACAACTACCTATTCATCATATCATGTTGTAAAATATAGAAGATTCCTTTTTTCTAATTGGCATTCAACAACTCCATAAGGAGGTAAGGTTTGGCAAAGCAACAAACTGGCCACAATGCAACTCTAGAAGACCTTTCTCCAAGGTCAAATTATAGGAAGGGTTTCCATTAGAGAGGATTACAATTCCCATTCCGCAAACC